GAGTCAATAGGTCAGGGTGGGGCAGCCATATTGCAGTTTCACCAGCTCCCAGCTGATTCAGATGCTCAGCCAGAGCTCATGCAGGGTAGCAATCAAGAGCAGGGCTTTGGAGCCAGACCTTGGGCAAGAAGCTTTGCCTCTCTGAGCCTGGATTTCCTCATGTGTAAAGTTAGGACAATGAGAATTGCTGCCTTCAGTGCTGAGGGTTGATTGAGATCTGCAAGTGAGCTCCTGTTGGCCACTCCTCCACCCCTGCCATTTCCTTTCCAGCACAGGAAGCCTGGCAGCCTGAGGTCTGCTGCCTCTCTGGGGAGCCCCCAAGTGTCTGGAGCCCTTAATTCCTCCTCTTCCTGACACTGACAGCTCACAGGGGTCAGAGCCTCTGCCCTGGGCTCTTAGAGCCCAAAGACAAAGGTGCGGGTGAGGAAACTGGCTAAATAGGTCTCGGAGGTTGGTGCAGGTAAATGAACCAAAGAAGGAAACAGCCCAAGTAGCTGCTGCTGTGTGGCAGGAGAAGGATTCTCCTTGTTGAGATAGGAACACAGAGACCCAAGGAGTTTAATTTGCTCAGAAGATTCAGTCCCTGCCTGCCTGACATTTGTAGCTTCCTGTGAAGCATTTCAGTGGGTATTTATGGGGCATCACTGTGTACCATGATGTTCAGAGAGCAATGAACAAGAAAGAACTGTCTACCCTTGTGGTGCTGGCCTTGTAAACAGAGGAGACAGGTTTTAAAATAAATTCAGAACGTATCTAATGTAACGGAGGACGGTACATGACACAGGGAAATAAAGCAGAAGTGGGGGTAACAATGTGGAACTAGAGGGGTTTGAGGTATTGATTTAAATAAGATAACCAGGGAACCTGCTCTGAGATGGTGACATCTAAATAAAAGAGGGAAAGAGGAAAAGGTGCCAGTCATATGGTCACCTGGGAAAGGAATGTTCCAGGCTTTAGAAACAGTAAGTGCAAAGGCCCAAAGGCAAAAGCATGCCTGGCCAACATGTTTTGTGGAACAGCAAGGAGGCCAGGGTGACTAGAGAGAGGTGAGCAACAGAGACGAGGTCAAAGAAGGTGCAGTGGGCCAGGTCACAGGGCCTGAAGGCTTCTGGAAGGACTCCAGCTTCTACCTGGAAAACCATTAGAGCATTTAAGTTAGACTTCAGGAGTCACTCAGACTTTCAGCATCGGGCAGATGTCATTTTGACCTCTGGGGTCAGGGTTGGGATTAGAGCCCTTGCTGCTCTCAGAATGTATGACATGCAGAAATACCCAGATGGGCCAGCACAGGAATGTTTTTATGAAGCAACTTAATAACAGGGCAAATTAGTAACAGTGGTTAATGAAACCCTTTGGTTTTTAATCTCTATTGTTTTAAAACTTTTGTCATAAGATGGGTGTGGTGTTATACACCAGTAATCCCAGCACCTGGGAAGTGGAGGCAGGAGGAGCACAATTTGAAGGCCAGCCTACACTACATAGCAAGAGACCCAGCCTCCAAAGACAGAAAAAGGCCAAGTGTGATGGCTCATGCCTATTATCCCAGCTACTTGGGCAAGGTGGAGATAGGGAGGGTCACAGTTAGAGGCCAGTCCTGGTAAAAAGTTAGCAAGACCCCCATCTCAACAAATAAGCCAGGTGTGGTGATGCGTGCCAGCTACTTGGGAGGCATAGGTAGGAGGATCATGGTCCAGGAAGGCTGGACAAAAAAATGTGATTCTGTACCGGAAAAATAACCAAGGCAAAAAGGGCTGGTGGAGTGGCTCAAGTGTTAGAGCATCCACCTAGCAAACATGAAGCCCAGAGTTCAAACCCCAGTACCACCAAAAAAAAACCCAAAAAACGCCAAACCCCCCCAAAAAACAGTCATAAAGACATATGTTCCTGGTTAAAAAAATTGCAGGGCATAAAAATATAACATTAAAGAACATTAAATTGGGCTGGAGGTGTTGCTCGATGGTAAAGCACTTGCTCAGTATATGTGAGGGCCTGGGTTCTATCCTCAGCAACACCAAAAAAAAAATGTTGAAATTTTATTATAAAAGTGAAACATGTTGCTGGCTTAAAAATGTCAAGAGTAGAGAAGAATATAATGTTAAAGAAGATGGAAGTTCCTTTCCCATTCTCTATTCCTCTCCCTGGGCTCCAGGGCTGCAGTGATCTCTGTTAACAGTTTGCTGAGTCTTCTAGATTTTTTTGCTATATAGATATGTTAGGTCAAACCGTATGAATTTTTTTTTTTTTTTTAGCAGTACTGGGGTTTGAACTCAGGGCCTCATACTTGCTAGACAGGTGCTCTACCTCTTGAGCCACTCCACCTGCTCTTTTTTTGTGATAAGTGGCTTCAAACTGTGATCCTTCTGATCTCTGCCTCCTGAGTAGGATTATAGGCATGAGCCACCAGTGCCCAGCTATGAAATTTCTAATATTTGATTTTTTTTTGACCTACTAAAATGAAGTTTCAACCTAATCTTTGCACACGTATTTATTTTGCAAACTTTCATTCTGCAGCTTGCTTTGTTCACACGCTGCTATACCATGCATCTTTTTCCATGTCTGTCCACACAGAGGTAATAAAGGTAGCTCACACCTTTTTTGTTTACCCTGATACTGGGACTTGAACCCAGTGCTTCACATATGCTAGCAAGCGCTCCATCCCCGAGCCATGCCCCCAGCAGCTCACAGCTAATATTTATCTGTGCACTGAGCACCAGGTACCATGCTGAGCTCTTCTCTCAAAACAGCCTGCTAGGGCTAAGCATGGCTCAAGTGGTAAAGCTCCTACCCCAAGTCAGGGCCCCAAGTTCAAACCCTAGTACTGCCAAAAACCAAAACAAAAAAACACCTCTGTGGAACAGTCCCATGATCATCCTCAAGTAATAGAAGTAAAATCTTCACAGCCACAATAAGGGCTTATGATGTAATGTAACTGTCCCCTGTTAAGGAGCCTTGGTTTGTCTCCAGTTTATTACATCATATACACAAGGTTTAATGAACATTCTTGGACACGCAGCTCTGTCCCCTTAAACATCTGTAGACTGAATGATTACACATGCTGAGCCAAAGGTCACGTCCAATTTTAAGTGTGATAGATTTTTGCACCCCAGAAAGATGACCAATTCCTACTTTGCCAGTTGGGCATTATGGTCCCCATTTATCCAAACCTCCTAAGTGCTTGATAGTATCCATCTTTTGTATCTGTGTCATTTAAGTAAGAATAGGACTGTCTGTACGGAAGGGAAACTACATTTGCTGGGTGCAGACCTAACTCTGACACTACGTATGTATTATCTTACACCATTATATTCCCTCTCCATGTCCAGTATTAGCCTCTATTTTTATTGATGACAAGCCAAGGCTTAGACAGGTGAAGAGATTTATCCAAGACCACACAAACAAACGTGGAGGTCTCTGGCCTTCCCTGTCCCCTCCCTTATGGGGTGTACCTATTTGGCAGGAGCTCTGCAGGAAGCTTTCTCAGAGAAGTGCTCTGAGAAGAGGCAGTGGATGGGAAGATGTAAAGCTTATAATAACACCTGTTGGCCGGGTGCTGGTGGCTCATGCCTACAATCCTAGCTACTCAGGAGGCAGAGATCAGGAGGATCACGGTTCAAAGCCAGCCCTAGGCAAATAGTTAGCAAGACCCTATCTCAAAACTACCCAACACAAAAAAGAGTTGGCAGAGTGTCTCAAGCAGTAAAGCACCTGCCTAGCAAGCATGAAGCTCTGAGTTCAAATCCAGTTCCACTGAACTAACTAAACAAATAAATAAAATAACTTCTGTCAAATCAGAAGTGGACAGTGGGTGTTTGGCACTCTTGAGTCAGTCACCTTAGATTTTAATTGCTGGACTTTGAGCCAGTTCCCTTAGGGACCACAGATGTATTAGAGATGTGTTAGTCAGGACTTTTTTGGATATAAGTGAGAGGAGCCAAACTCAAATGGTTTAAAGGAAACAGTATTAATTGGCTCACATAGCTAAAATTTCAGGGGTGGATGCCTGGAGGGATGTGAGGGGAAAAAAGGAAACACTGACCCCCTTGCAGGACCCCACCATATTGCCACTTTGCCAAGGAGACCCCCTGGTGCTCAGGAGAACACTGAGGAGATGGCTCAATTCTTTCTCCCCTTCTGCTCTCAAAAAACAATAAAAGGAAGACTTGGCCCATACGCAGTCTCTAAGACAGTGCTGGTTCCTACTTCCAAGGGCCTGAGTCAAGATGAAGTGCTGGCTGTGGGGGAAGCTACTAAAGACAGCAATAATGGCTAGTTGCGTTTGGTGTGCAGAAGAAGGCATGGGTATGAGAGGGTATATATACATATATATATATATATATACATATATATATATGTATATATAATGAATTTGCTCATGAACCTGTGTTCCTCCTAAACCTTGCCTTCTCTCTCTCATGGGCTATTTTTCATGACCCTTCTTTGAGCCATCCCTAATTCCCTGCAGTCTTTTGAGGGGCTCTTTCCAGGTCTGACACACTTAAGTGCAAGGCATACTGCAGCTGAGCACTGAATCTTTAATGAAAACCATGATAAGTTTGGAGCTTCTGATCTGGGGTGGCACTGCCTCCCTAGAGATAGCCCAGCATTGTGGTAAGTACTTGGACTTTGGAATCTGATGGAGCAGGATTAAATCCCAAGCTTTTGGGATGCCACTGAGGGATCTTGAGGCAGGTGACTGACACTGAATGAAGTGGTCAGGGATATAGCTCGCAGGATCTGAATTCCAGCTCTTTCAGCTGAGAAACAGTGCAGGGCCTCACGGTTTGTTTATCTGTCAAATGAGTGGTTGGTATGGAGGTTAAGAGTATGGTGTGTAAAGTGCTTGGCACATAGTATGTTTATATGTTTTAGTTATTATTGAACTGAACAGTTCGTGGAAAGAACTTAGCCAGGATGGGGATGGTGACAAGGAGGGAGGTGGGAGCAGTCTTTTGGTTCAATTTTCATTGGGTTCAGGAAGACAAACTGCCTCTCTATCTCAGGTGCTGTCCCACAATCTGTACACCGTCCTGCACATCCCTCATGACCCTGTGGCCCTGGAGGAACACTTCCGAGATGATGACGATGGCCCTGTGTCCAGCCAGGGCTACATGCCCTACCTCAACAAGTACATCCTGGACAAGGTGAGGGTCTAGCTTGTGGGGGACCTATAACCTCTCCCCATTTTCCCAGCCCTGCCAGCATTCCAATACCTTGCTACTCCAAACTCTTTCCTCTCCCCAGTAAACTCCTCTTCTGCTCCCTCTGTCCATCCCTGCTTGCCCATCTCCACCCATCACATCTCAGCCACCTGTCCCTTTCTTGTCCCCTCAGCTCACCCTCAATGCCTCTCATCTCTGTTCTAGCCTCCATTGTTCCCATAACTTTCCACCCCGTCCCTGCCTAAGCTTACCTCCAGCTTCCAGCTATCATGTCCGCCCTGCCTCTCTCACCTGTCACTGTCTTCCCAGGTTCTCCTTGACTATCCACTCCTCCTGGGCTTCTCCTCCTTTCCTCTTTGGGCTGAGGGATTAGAGTTTCTCTGTTGGCAGGGGATTTGGGTGACTAGGGGTATGTTGGAGGTGGGAGTTGGAACCAGCTAGTTACCTGGTGATCAGCTCAGGAAGTCCTCATGTTTAGCCCTCATCTTGGCAGTGTAAGAAGCAGGGTTCATGGATGAACCTGAGAAACCAAGCTGGAGCCTCTTTTGGTGGTGGAGCAGGGATGTGATAGCTAGCTGACTTGTAGCCCTGGTTGCAGGTGGAGGAGGGGGCATTCGTTAAAGAGCACTTTGATGAGCTGTGCTGGACCCTGACAGCCAAGAAGAACTACCGAGCAGACAGCAATGGGAACAGCATGCTCTCCAATCAGGATGCCTTCCGCCTCTGGTGCCTCTTTAACTTCCTGTCTGAGGACAAGTACCCCCTAATCATGGTTCCTGATGAGGTGAGGATGATGGCAGTCCCAGGCTCAGAGTCTTGGGGCCAGGCCCCAGCAAACCCATGATGTGCCATCTCACATCCCTTTTCTTTTTTTGTCACCTCATGTTGGTCCTGCCTCCACCCAGCTGTCTTCACATGCCTAGAACTGCCCACATCAGAACAATTGTTCTTTTTTTCCAGGAGAACCAAAATTACACTTTTATCAGGGTTCTGCTAGTCTATCCTCAAAGGAGGAAAATAATCTGTAAATTTGACCAAACAGCAGCAGCAATGCCTGACACATGAAGAGCATTTAAGAACAAATGGCAGGATTTTTAACACTGCAGTAACCTAGGAAGATGCTTTTAAGGGGAAGGGAGACCTTGCTAAGGCAGGAAGTAATTCTCTGGTTATTTGAGGTGGGCAACCAAGTCTGGCCCTGCTTCCAGATTTTCTTTTCTTTTCTTTCTTTCTTTCTTTTTTTTTTTTTCTTTTTCTGGAGAGCTAGAGCCCCAGAGAGAGGCTATCCTGGGGGAAGAGGTCAGAAATCTAGCCCCTGACCCCTCAGCTCAGGGTGAAGCCAGGGCAGCCCTTTTCCTGCCCACTTGGATCATTGTTCTTTTGCCCATTTCTCTCCCTTGCCCTTTTGGGCTGCTCCTGACCCTTCAGTCCTCTTGCAGGCATCAGGGTAAATTTAGGGCATACACAGGAGGGTGTTTACAAGAGTCTTAGCATGTCTAACTGCTTCTTTTTGTGGACTGAGTCCTGAAATGATGCCCTCCACTAACTCCTACCAATTGAGACCCGGTGGCCCCTAGGGTGAAAGTCCTAAGGGAAGTTTCCCAAGAGCTGTTGGGGCAGGAGAGGGACTTGTGCCCATCTGCAGGGTATCCTTGTCAACTCCCTGCCAGTCAGGGCAAGGTGACCTCTCAGGGGACCTGAGCCTCTTGCTGCTGTGATCAACAGGTAGTGAGAACAAACTGCAGCAGGATATACCCCAACCACCACTTCCTGTTCCTCTGTGATGGGTTTCCTGTCCCTGCCCTGCTTACCCCCACCCCCAATTCCCTTGCCCTCCCTCAAGGGAAGGGTCCCCCAGGGTTAGAGATTAGGGTTTGGAACGAGAACCTGAATGGGAATCAGCAGATCCCAATGGAGTTCTAGCTGCCCTCAACTTGCTGTGTGACTTGAAGCAAGTCACTTCCCTTTTTGAGTATTGGTTTTGTCATATGCAAAGTGAGGGTATTGAAGAGAGGGTTCTTGTAACCACCTGTGACATTCTCTGTGACTTGCTGCCTCTGCCTGGCCCTGAGCTCTCCACTCCCACCTTCATCCTGCCTTTAAAGCAGGGAAGAGTGGGACTGAGGTTGGGAAGAGGGCAAGGATGCTTGAGGTGGGGCTTGAGCTCCAGGGTACCTTCCCAAATCTCTACCCTGGTCTCCACTAGCATTTGGTCTTCTGGCCCTCCTACCTACCTGCTCCTGGTCCCCTCTTCCCAGGATCTGAGCGCCCGCTGGAGCACCCCTTGGGGTTGGTGCTAGCACTACCGCCTGCTGCCACCACCAGGCCTTTCTTCTTCCCTCCAGGTGGATTACCTGCTGAAGAAGGTGCTCAGCAGCATGAGCTTGGAGGTGGGCTTGGGTGAGCTGGAGGAGCTGCTGGCCCAGGAAGCCCAGGCAGCCCAGACCACCGGGGGGCTCAGCGTCTGGCAGTTCCTGGAGCTCTTCAACTCAGGCCGCTGCCTGCGGGGCGTGGGGCGGGATACCCTCAGCATGGCCATTCACGAAGTATATCAGGAGCTCATCCAAGACATCCTGAAGCAGGTCAGCCAAGCTGGGAGCTAGGGCAGGGGCATCAGGAGGGCCTAGGGGCCTCTGACTTGACTCTGGCCTACAGGGCTACCTGTGGAAACGTGGGCACCTGAGGAGGAACTGGGCAGAACGCTGGTTCCAGCTGCAGCCCAGCTGCCTCTGCTACTTTGGGAGTGAAGAGTGCAAGGAGAAAAGGGGCACCATCCCACTGGATGCTCACTGCTGTGTGGAGGTGAGGGCTCAGGTGAAGGGATGGAGGGCACCTCTAGGCCCAGAGGGTCCCCAGGTGGTATGAAGACAAGGGAATCAGAAGGAAGAATGGAAGTAAGCCACAGTGACACAAATTTCTGCTTAGATTATACCTGGGTGGCTTGAGGCCATTCTCATCCATGTCAGTACTTTTTTATTTGTTTGTGTTGTGGTTCTGGGGGTCCAACTCACAACTTGCATGCTTGGCAAGTACTCTACAACTCGAGCCATGCTCCCTATGCTTTTGCTTCTTTTAGTTTGCTTTTTGGATAGGGTGTCATGCTTTTACCCAGGCCATACTCTAACCTTAATCCTACCTCCACATCCCAAGTAGCTGGGATTGCAGGTGTGTACCACCACACTTGGCCTTAAAATCCTTTTAAAAGACTTATCTCCTTCATCAAAATTCCATTCTCTTTTGACAACTTCATACTTCCCTACACTCTTTCCAGACTCCTCTCCTCTCCCTCTTCTCCCCCTTCTCCTTTCTTGGCTGTATGCATTACTATTTTAGGGGAAAAAATTATCTGGCTTCTTCCAAATAGCATAGTGTTTTCAAGTTTCAGCTGTGTTATACAGTGTATCAGAATTCCTTTCCTTTTTAAAGCTAAATAATATCCCATTGTATGGATATGTAACATTTTGTTTATTCATTCATCTGTTGACATTCTCACCAGTGGTGTTTAAGTATTTCTCTATCTCCTTGCCAACTCTTGTTATTTTACGTCTAAGAAAATTATGCCAGGTATGGTGGCACATTGCAGCACTCAGGAGGCTGAGGCAGGGGGATCTCAGGTTCATGGCTAGAAGGCCTACATAGCAAGATCCTGTCTCAAAATGAAAAATTACAATAGCTGTCTCAGACTTTGCCCATTTTGTTCAACAAGGAAGCATGCCACTGTGAGAAGAGCACAGATCTAGGCAGAACTCCTATCTCCTCCACTAATAAGCAGTGCGGCTTCACAAGTCCCTGGGCCTCTTAGAGCCTCAGTTTCTTTTTCTGTAGAGTGGAGCCTGGCAAGGGTGTATGGGAGGAGTGGATAAAATGAAACATAAGTACAGACGCTGGACCATAAGTTCAATGTAAGCTTAAGGAAGGCAGCGCTTCTGCCCCTCAGACATACCGCAGTATCCCAAACTCCTAAAACACAGAGAGACCTTCAGGAAATGCACGAATGAACCTTCTAAGCAGACAGGAGTCTGTGGAAATGAGTGGAGGGGGGACTGAGGCCCCTTTACTGGAAGTGTTCAGCACCTAGTACATAGCATGTGCTAGCTCTATCGGAGAGACACCAACATGAAAACAGTCCCATCCAGGCTACAAGGAACGAAGGCTAGAGTTGAAGGAACACAAGTTCCCCTGAAACTCACTGTCCGCACCGGGCCACACAGGCTCCTGGCAGAGTGGGAAAGGTCCCCAGGGAAGATGTTCAGTCAGGAGGGGAGGAGCTTGAGCTAGGATACCCTGGAGCAGGTGTGGCTCCGACTTCAGTGAGGCCAGCCTGGCTGGGGACTTCGGCCTTCTCCCAGGTGCTGCCGGATCGGGATGGAAAGCGCTGCATGTTTTGCGTGAAGACAGCCAGCCGCACATATGAGATGAGCGCTTCAGACACGCGCCAGCGTCAGGAGTGGACGGCTGGTGAGTGCTGGCTGGGCAGCCCGCGTTTTTGCTGGGTTTCAATTGCCTCATCTGTGAAAAGGGGGTGGTGATAACTTTGCCCAGCGGGAGCTGGAGAATGCATTCGAGACTCCCAAGGCCCCTGTGCCGCGGTGGACTAGGTTGCAGCTGACCTTCTCCTGCTCCACCCGCAGCTATCCAGACAGCGATCCGGCTGCAGGCCGAGGGGAAGATGTCGCTGCACAAGGACCTGAAGCAGAAGCGGAGGGAGCAGCGCGAGCAGCGGGAGCGGCGCCGGGCAGCCAAAGAGGAGGAGCTGCTCCGGCTGCAGCAACTGCAGGAGGAGAAGGAGCGCAAGCTGCAGGAGCTGGAGCTGCTGCAGGAGGCGCAGCGGCAGGCCGAGCGGCTGCTACAGGAGGAGGAAGAGCGCCGGCGCAGCCAGCACCGCGAGCTGCAGCAGATGCTAGAGGGTCAACTGCGCGAGGCGGAGCAGGTGGGCCAGCCCCGGGGGCGGGGCCTCGACTGATCGCTCAGGGCGTGGACTGGGTGGTGCTGTGGGCGGGGCCGGGGGCGGGGTCTCAGCACACCGCGCTGGGCGTGGACTGCGTGGCGCTGTGGGCGGGGCCTGGAGCCGCAGGCTGAGGCGGGACCAGCGCCGGCGGCGCGTGTTTGCGCAAAGTTTGGGACCTCTTCCGGGACAGAGCCAGTAAAAGAACAATATCGGCTGCCAAGAGTAGAACCTCTGGCTAAGAAACAGGAGGACAGGAACCTGAATCTTAAGAAGAGGGATGGTGGGACCAGAGCTGAATGACAGGTGTAGAATGGAGCCTTTTCTGCGGAGCGGTGCTTGGACCCGAGCGAGGAGCCGCTAAAGACTGAGAATAGTTTGGACAGAAGTCGGTCTAGACTTGCTCTGAAATTACAGTGAAACCAGTGTGGGTGCTGTAGGATGGGAGGTAGGCGGGACGCGAGTGGAGGCGGACAAGGCGTGCAGAGGCAATTCGATTTAAGAAATCTGAGTCTGAGTCAGAGACTCATGGATTCAATCCCAGCTCTGCCTGCCAAGATCCGGTGATCTCGGGCAAGTTATTTTGCCTGCCGGTGCTTCATTAGCTTATCTGTAAATGCGAACGTGAATAGAATTTTACTCATAGAGGTAGGGACTAGATTAAATACAGAAATTCTTGTGAAGTGTTCAACAACTTTTGGTTGTTGTAATAATAATTTTAATCACCTTCCTATCACCAGTCATAATGAGATTGCAACATATGTAATAATAGTGATTAATATTAGGGCTAGTGCTAGAAAGGAAGTGATCCTATTTTATTTTAGCACATTATTTAATTGTAAAGCAACATGTTATTTAACTAATAATAATAATGGTAACAATTGGAGTTTAGTGTGTATGGTCCTGGGAATCGAACCCAGGGCCTTGGGCATGCTAGGCAAGCACTCTATCACTGAGCTACATCTGCAGCCCTAATTATTATTACTAAACCCAGGGCTAGGAAGGGAGTAACTTGAAGCATCTGTCCATTGACCTTCTCCGACCCTCTCAGGCTCTCAGAAAGGGGACTGATCAGGAAAGCCCAACAGAAAGGAATTCCCCAGGCCCGCGCTGGTAGAGCCTTGGGAGAGGGCAGCCCATAGTCCCTTCCGTCCCACGTCCCCACTGAGCTGGCTCTGCGTGTCCCCGCAGGCCAGGGCCTCCATGCAGGCGGAGATGGAGCTGAAAGAGGAGGAGGCTGCCCGGCAGCGACAGCGCATCGAGGAGCTGGAGGAGATGCAGGAGAGGTTGCAGGAGGCTCTGCAGCTAGAGGTGAAAGCCCGGCGGGATGAGGAGTCTGTGCGTCTCGCCCAGACCAGGTAGGCCTGCGGGAGCGACCTTTCGACTTTCCCACCAACACCTGCCCCTCATCCTCCCACTTGCCGAGCACCTGCGAGGTGCCTTGGCACTGAAGGCGGCACGGTGCACGCCCTGCAGACTGCTGGAGGAAGAGGAGGAGAAGCTGAAGCAGTTGATGGAGCTGAAGGAGGAGCAGGAGCGTTACATCGAGCGCGCACAGCAGGAGAAGCAGGAGCTGCAACAGGAGATGGCGCTGCAGAGCCGCTCCCTGCAGCAAGCCCAGCAGCAACTGGAAGAGGTGCGGCAGAACAGGCAGAGGGCCGACGAGGACGTGGAGGTGAGACCTAGGGTGGGATAGGATGGCAGGAGGGGGCGTCATCATGCAGGCTCCCCAGCTGGGCTGACTTCCCTCAAACCTTGACACTAAGAACAGCTGCTGTGTGACCTCAGGCAAATTGCTTAACCTCTCTGAGTGTCAAGGCTTTCATCTGGCAAAGCTAACTTATTAGGAAGACCAGACAAAATAATACATGATATTTAATATGTAAGTGCTCAAGAAACATTTGTTGTTGTATTTGTTAACATTATTATTAATTTAGGATGAATTTTTCTCTCCTACTTTTCCAAGCCTCTAACTTGCTATCCCTGTACTTGAACTTCACTCCTTGGAGCCTGAATCCCCATAGAAGAGGTTTTTGTTTAAATTTTAATGTTTTATTTTTATTAACATTGATGGTTCTATTTCACTTTACTGACTTAGTCATTGCAAAACATTTAAACAACACAGAAATGTGGAACATAGGAAGAGGTCTGCCCATCCCCCCTCACTGTGAATGTTGGAGCCGAGTTCTTGCATCAGGTCCTGTAGAGGGGGTGTAGGGCAGTGGTTGAGAGTTCATTGTAACCTCTTTTGAACTTGTTTGTTGTTAATTTCTGCTCTGTATTTTAAATAAGGTAAATATGCTCACATCTTAGCTGCTTAATCAACAGTTATTATTATGAACAATTCTTTGGGCCTTTTGGGGGTCCATCAGTCCCCTGATATTAGAGGAAAACCTGTTCATGTACATGACTCTTTACAAACATACACAGGAGATGATCGGTATCCTTGGTCAGATTCTGAAGGGCTGTGAACCAGAAAAGAACAGAATGCCCTGCCACCAATGGCCGTTCTGACCCACCCATTCCCCACTGGCCCTGTCCCCACAGGCTGCCCAAAGGAAGTTACGCCAGGCCAGCACCAACGTGAAACACTGGAATGTCCAGATGAACAGGCTCATGCATCCAATTGAGCCTGGAGGTGAGAAGCAGTAAACTCTGGAACTTTCCCTGGGGTCAGGAGGGAGAAAGAAATGGCTCTGGGTCCCCAGGGCCAGCACAGGTGGACTAAAGGTAGCAGATCTTCCCCTTTACCGAGGACTCAGACCTTCACCTCTCCCCTCAGAACACACCTTTCTCCTTACTTACCTGTCTTCTCTCTGCCAGATAAGCGCCCCGTCACCAGCAGCTCCTTCACAGGCTTCCAGCCCTCTCTGCTTGCCCGCCGCGACTCCTCCCTGAAACGGCTGACCCGCTGGGGATCCCAGAGCAGCAGGGCCTCCTCATTCAACAGCAGTGAGCAGCAGAAGTCCCTCAACGGTGGGGATGAGACTCCCGTCCTGACTTCCACCTCTCAGGAAGATAAACTGGATCCTGCGCCAGAAAATTAGCCTTGCCTCACTCCTCTTCCCAACATCATGTCCACTAGAACCTGGCCACAGCTGGTCTGTGGATGACACTGGCCCCTGCTAGGAGAGGGAGTGGCAGTCCTGGTGCCAGGGCCCCAACTCTCCAACCAGAAGCCAATCCAGGATGGAACCTGGCTAATCTTTCATGCCAGCTGCAAGCCCTAGACCATGGAGGCTGGTAGGCTGATACTTGAGAACTTAGCCCTGTCCTTAGTCCTTAGTCCAGGTAGTGATGTGACTACCTGGGCTGGGAAAGACAGTGAATAAGCAAGACCAGGGCCACTGGCCCTCAGGCTCCACCAAGGTGTGGAGGTATATTTCCAAATAAAAACTACTCTTGGAATGAACTATTGGCCCAACTCATCTGTCCTGCCATTTTTTTTCCTCCTTCCTTCGAGTCCAATCTAGGTCCCAAAGGCTGAAGGTGCGGCAAGGTGGCTGGGAACTTGGACTTTGGGACTAGATGACCTGGGTTCTGAACCCAGCTCCACCACTTACTAACTGATTGACTTCAGTGAAGTTTCTTCATGCCTCTGTACTTCAGTTTCCATGTTGGTAAAGTGGAGCTAATAACTTTATCTGCTTTAGAGGGTATGTGAGGCCTCAGTGCTTTACACATGAAGAAGCACATTAATATCAGCCCCACTGTGCCCTGACACTTCCCAGGTTATTTTATTCTCATGACAACTAAAAGCTAGATTGTCGATACTTACAGGTGGACAGTTGAGACTCAGGGAGATCAGGGAACTTGCCCAGAGCCTTCTAGACTCACTTTTCTTCCCACGTTCCCTGACTCTCTGACCTTGTCACCCGACACAAGAGATCCGGGAATCTAACAGCTAGGAAGATCTACTTCCCTTTTCTCATTCCCAGCTGTCATTTAGTCCAGGAGATTCTCTCTCCTTTATGCTCTCAGATCTGCCCTACCTTTCCATGCCCCTTTGTATCTTCGATCTGGGTATTAGCCATTAATTCCTTCTTCGATCTGGGTATTAGCCATTAATTCCTTCTCCATTTTGCCCTATTTTAGGAAATCACCAAGTTCAGTCAATTGGACTTTTTTGGTTACTCTCAAATATATTCCAGTTCAAACCCCAGTTCCACCAAAAAATAAATAAATAAATAGTAGCCCTGGGGTGTTGTGTCTCATGGCTCTTGCCATGGGGTTTGTTACCTCCCAGCTATAGAAGAGCCTAGCTGAGTCTCCTTACCAACCTTTCTCCCACTGCTGCCCAGATGGGATTTCCAAAATGAAGATTTGCCCTTGATCCTTCCCAAATTCGCTTGGTGCTATTCCAGAGAGTTCCTTTGGTTTTGGTTTTGATTCTTGTTTTGTTCTTTGAGATAGGGTCTCATTATGTAGCCCAAGCTGGCCTTGAACTCTCTCTCCTCCTACTTCAGCTTCCTAAATGCTAGAATTACGGGCATTGTACCACCACACCTGGCTTCATCCATGAATTTTGATAGTCAAGTTCATGTTCCCATATGTAGCAGATGAGGCCCTTGACACTCTGACCCTCAAAGGCCTCCTATGTCTTTGCCTTATAGATCCAGTTTTAGCTGTTTTTAAATCCTGTAGCCCTCACACTGGCTGTCCTTTTCTCCTTATGTCATGTAACAGAACCCATAACTAAATGTGTGTTTCTTGAAGGCAAGGTGTAACTTCTGTGACTCTGTCTTGAGCGCCTGTCGCGTGCTTATGCTCTTAACAGATATGCAGCACAAATTGTTGAATGAATATGTGAATAAATAGATCTGAAGTAAAATGCCAGGTTGGTAAAACTAAGATCTAAACTCAAGTCCACCCATTTATTCAGCAATTTTTTTAAGCCCTTCTTCTGTGTCATGCATGGGATAGACTGGGTGCTAGCTGTTTGGCACAGAACAAAAGTAGAGTCCCTCCCCTCCTGGAGCTGTGTGCTATCTGATAGCAAGTTCAAGTCTTTCGCAAGCACACCAAGCTCACCTTCCAGGAACCTCAGTACAGTCTGTTTAAAGTATCATGAAGCAAAGTTGACAGTATGACACAGGCAGATTTCAGTGATTTGAAATGAAGTTAAAAAACTAAGTGCTGTAAGAATTCAGAGAAAAAATATGTTTTAAGGGATTTGAGATTAGCCTCACTTTTTTTTCTTTTCCTTTTTTTTTTTTTGGCAGGGGATGGGGGGGCTTATGCATGTGAGGCAAGTGCTTTATCACTGAGTTACAATCCTAGCCCAGCCCTAGTTTGTCTTCTTCCTTCTTTCTTTCTTTTCCTTTTTCTATTTCTTTCTTTACTCCTTCCTTCCTTTTTTTTTCTTCTTTTTGTTTTTTGAGACAGGATCTCCCTCTATAGTCCAGGCTGGCCTTAAACTCCTGTGTAACTCAGGCTGGCCTTGAACTCTCAATTTTCCTGCCCCAGCCTCCTGAGTGCTGGGATTACAAGTATGAAACACCTCTCCTAACCAGCCAGCCTGCACTTTTAAATAAATAAGAAAAGAGGCAAGGAGAATGAGGAAAACACATTTATGGGTACGAGAAGTCTGGATTCTGGATACCACATGGGAGGAGTAATGGTCTTCTAAGTGGAGTGGGGTATCCCTAAGGGGAGATCAATTTGCAGATCCTCAATTTGCAAGTGTTCTCTTTGCTAAAGCTGCTTTCCTCTTTCACAGTTTCACCTACCCTGATTTCAAAGGATGGTTCAGGCCAGATGTAGTGACTTACACCTATGGAATCCCAGCTACGTGGGAGGCAGAGATTGGGAGGATCACAGTTCGAGGTCAGTCCAGGCAAAAAGTTAGTGAGACTCCATCTCAGTTAGTAAGCTGGGAGCATGGTGGTACATATCAGTAGGAGGTCTAAGACCAGCCTGGGCAAAAAAAAAAGTGAGACTCTACTGAAGAAACAATAAATCAAAAAGTGCTGGGGGATGGTTCACGTGGTAGAGAGCATGAGACAAGACAAAACAAAACCAAACCTCACCATTCATCTATCCACTATTTCAATAGTAAGCTACCCAAAAGGGCTAAGTCTATGGAACACTGAACAAAGTAGCAATTTGGAACACTAGGGTAGGACCATAGGTGTGGAGAAAGTGAGTGGCCCAAAAGCTGAGCAACAAGTTCATTTGGTATTCAAGTCAGGACATTTGCACAGCTTTGCTCTTAAAATGAAGGAACTTCATTGTGTTGTCAGCTGATGAAGCATTAACAATATATACATATACATAGCAATATATATATGTGCGTGTGTGTGTGTGTGTGTGTGTGTGTATATATATATATATAATTTTTGGGTGGAACAGGGGTTTGAGCTCAGGGCTTTGTGCTTGCAAAGCAGGTGCTCTACCATTTGAGCCACACCTCAGTCCATTTTGCTTTGGTTAATTTGGAGATGAGGTCTTGTGAACTAATTTGCTTGGGCTGGCCTCAAACCATGATCCTCCTGATTTCTGCCTCCCAAGTAGCTAGGATTATAGGTGTGAGCCACTGGTGCCTGGATCAGCAATATTGTTTTTAATATTTAGAGTGATTTGGAGGACAAATAACTCAGAATCAGATGCTATTTATTGTAAATCAAGATTCTCAGTTCCCATCTACTTCTTCATGTGAACAAGGTTTCCCAGTTTGAAAAATGAGAAAAAGCAGTAGAATTAATGTTTCAGGCAGTCTTATTCTAGCAGTAGGTGGTAATAAATTACAGCTTGATTGACAAGGGGACAAAGTCCATCCATTAACAGTTGCATTTACAATGTGTCTTTTGTATTTATGTTTGAAACTTATAAAGATTATAACATTTTTATTGTTTTCATCAATTGGGTATTACTGATACTTACAATGACCACTCAAACCAGAAGAAAAAATTTCACTTACAGTCTTACAGTTATACAAAACTTAAAACATTTTAAAAAAATCTATTTAATTTTTTAAATACTGGGTGATACTGGGGTTTGAACTCAGGGCCTTGAACTTGCTAGGCAGGTGCTCTACCACTTGAACCATGTGCCCCGTCCAAAAGTTAAAACATTTTCTTGTTGGGACTGATGAACTCAGGGCTTCATGCTTGCAAAGCAGGCACTCTACCACTCGAGCCACACTTCCAGTCCATTTTGCTGTGGTTATTTTGGAGATGGGAGTCTGTCGAACTATTTATCTGGGCTGGCCTTGAATCTTGATCCTCCTGATCTCCGCATCCCAAGTAGCTAGGATTACAGGTGTGAGCCATGTGTGCCCGGCTTCAAACTTAAAACATTTAAAAGCTTCAACTTATATATATACTTTCAAGCTGCAGGGATGTATGATTTGGTGATTATTAATGGACTTTTGAACACAGGACTAGGTTATATTACAATTAGACTTTTTATTTTTTCAGAGCTTTGAGACAGGGTCTTACAATAGTCTAAGTTGGTCTGGAACTCACGATCCTTCAGCCTCAACCTCCCAAGAGCTGGGATTACAGACATGCGTGGCCATGTCCAGCTGCAGTTAGAATTCTGAGAAGAAGGTGGAACAGAGACATAGAACAGAGATACAAGAGGACCACATAACATGTTTGCTAAAGAAGAGCTATTCGCGTATTTTTAAAATAGATGATAGCATTTATCAAATAATTACAGGATTTGGGTCTTCTACAGCAATTTTATTTAAGTGTCAATATTTAGCCAGATGCCGGTAGCTCACACCTGTAATCCTAGCTACTCAGGAAGCAGAGATCAGAAGGATCTTGGCTCAAAGCTAGTCCTGGAAAATAGTTCTTGAGACCCTATCTCGAAAAATACCCATCACAAAAAAGAGCTGGTAGATTGGCTCAAGATGAAGCCCCTGAGTTCAAACCCCAGAACCACCACCACCCCTCAAAAAAAGAAAAGAAAAAAAATAGAGAGGCAAAAAAATTTAAGACCACTACTGTGTGTGTTGCCCCATGAAAAAAAAGGCAAAGGAAAATCTGATTACAGAGATTCTTGGAAGCTAGGTAGAGTTTAAATTTGAGGCAGCAAGCCAACCTGAGACTCAGTTTCCTCGAGTGTGAATGGGGTCTATTCCGGTTTTTGGATGTCCTATGGTGAGACACAGAGAGGCCTTGATGGCTGAGGTGTGATGTAAAATGATCTCCCTCGCTGTCATCCTGGGGGACATTTTTAGGAGGCAGGAAAAATATGTTCTAGTCTTTTGCTCTCAAGGTTAAAAAAATAACTCTTCTTCCTTTCCAACATCCTGAAAAAGGAAAGTGTGTCCTGTTTCCGATGCCCTTGGAGATACTCATGAACTCTGGCGGGCTCACGGAAAGTGCAGCCAGTGTAAACCCAGGCCATGTCTTTCTGTGGCTTGTATGTGAGGATGGGTGGGGAGGCAGGGCTGGAGCCAATAGGCCTTTTAGGCACTGTGGCCAGGGATCCACCCAGGCCTAGGAAGTGGTTGCTGAAAGGTGCCTCTCTGGTCCTTTCTGCAGTGAGAGGGGGAGGAAAGAGGTCATGCTGAGCAGACTGATTTCAGGACAGTGAGGAGGCCCCATCTGCTGGCTAGAGCCTGGCATGCCTGTGACCAAGATGCAAGCTGCTTCAGAGCAGATCCAAACTCACTCCACACTGTTAGTTACACAATAATTGGGCATCAGAGCAGGTTTGGGTAGCTGAGAACCCAGAGTTTCCCCTCTGGAAAGGGCTGCAGAGGCTTGGGAGGGACCAGCTGTTCTCACTCAGCTGTCCCAAAGGACAAATCTGGTCAAAGTGAGGATTCTGGGAAGCTGCTTCAGATTGGGTTTGTGCTTGGAGTAACAGAAACTTGACGTAAGCAGACAAAAGAATTTCTTAGTTAGAATATGGATGAGCTCCTTAAATAATTGGGAGGATGAATGAGACAGCTTGGAGGCTGTGTAGTCAGGAACAACACCCCAAATCAGCCTACAGGACAGGTACCCAAGTTGTCCCCTCTGGAGGCCCACCCAGCTGCTTCCCTGACCAGCTTCATCAACTCCTGGAGGCTGCTCTTACAACTGCCATGGCTGTCTCTGGAAACTAGGTGGCACTGCTGTTGCGACCAGCCATAATGGATTCTGCTGCTCCTAGTTCTTCATCCCAGTTTCCTCAGGGTCTGATTGGTGCAGTTTGGATCATGTGGCTGGGCCTAGCTGCAAAGGAGTCTGGGAGCCAATGTCTGACACTTTAAGCTGCAAAGGTGGAGAGAGAGTGTAAAGTGGAAGATTTCCCAGTTAGAGGATGGGAAATCAAAGTCTGGGTGGCAAAAAAATAGGCAAAGCCTTGAAAAGGATGCATATGCATGAAATGGTGCATTTGGAGGCCAGTAATCTCTATAGTAAAGGGAGCCAGAATCATTCTATGAAAGGAACTAGTGCCATTCTAATTTGAAAAAGAAAATATGTAGGGGGTGGGGTCAAACATCTGGAGGTTCTTATATGGAAAACATATGATTTAGTTTACCTCTGGGAGTAGGGGTGAGATTGCTTCATAGTTGTAAATTTTTTCTCATATAATGATTTTTTTTTTTTTGGATGCATGATATCCCATCAGAAGGGTACAGCATAATTTACTTAGCCATTTTCTCTCTTGTGTATAACCAAGTTATTTCTAACTTATGTTTTAAATACTATTGAAGAGCAATATTTTAAATAATATTGAAGAGGAATTCTGGGCCAGGCTGGGCAACATTACAAGATCCCTGTCTCTAAAAATAATAAATAAATAAATAAATAAATAGTGTAATGAATGTTTTGTGTATAAAGCATTTTCAGTATTTAGGATTATTTCTTCAAGACAGATTACCCAAGGCTGGATGTGGTGTCTCTTGCCTATAATCCCAGCTACTGTGGAGATAGCAATAAGGAGATTGAAGTTTGAGGTCAGCCCTGGCAAAAAAGTGAGACCCTTGCAACCAATAAGCCAGGTGTGGTGGCGTGTGCCTGTGATCCCAGCTACCTGAGAGGCCATAGGTAGATGGATTGTGATCTGGAGCCAGCCCCGGACAAAAACGTGAGACTTTATCTGAAAAATTACTAAAGCAAAAAAAAGGACTGGGGGTCTGGCTCAAGTGGTGGAGTGCCTTCCTGACAAGCATGAAGCCCTGAGTTTAGACCCTAGTACTGCCACAAAACCAAAACCAAACCAAAACAAAAAACAGATCAACCAAAGTGAAATTACAGGTTCTAAACATTGATATTTACTTAACATATTAAATTTTACAGATTCTTACCATAAAAATAAAATGAAGTAAAACAGTATATAACACAATGCCTTAACAGTGCTCTCAGGATTTTTTTTTTTTTTTTTTTTTTTTAGGGAAGGAACTGTCTTTATTGGGGGAAAAAAACCTCTTGGGGTAGAAGTTGAGATCTCCAGGGCATAAGTATTGTCAGGACCCTAAGCAATGAAGAGATACGATTAAGATGTGTCTTTCTGTTTGGAAAGCCAGAGCAATTTGTGTCTCATCCAGACAGAGTGGGACGAAGTAGAAAAAGGAGAGAGAAGAAAAGTTAGTGGTTTGAGAAAATGTCAAGCTGTAAGGGGGAAGAGTCAACTAGAAAACCTCAGTAGGGACAGGTTTGGTGGTACACATCTGTAGTCCCAGCAGTAGGCAGAGGCAAGAGAATGAAAGTTTGAAGCCAGAGCTGTGTAGTGAGAGCCCATCTCAAAGAGTAACAGCAAGAACAACAACAAAAGTGTGCGGGGTGAGTGTAAAATGCCCTGTATCACAGGACCCTGCCCCTGGGCTCAGCACATCACAATGCCTTCTGTACTCATGAATGTTTTGTGTGGGAAGAGATGTAGGCAGTTCCCAGGAAGGGCTGAGTTTCATCCTTGGATTTCTGAACTATCGCATGGCAACAGCCTAACAGAAGCAGGATCCCTGGGTCAGAGATACTTAGAGTAAGTCTTCAGAAATCTTAGGGAAGGCTTTGACTTTCACAGAGCATTTTTACTGTAATCTCAAAGCGCAAGGAGGTTGATACCTAACTTACAAAATTAATGCACATTCACTTCAAAAAGTTGGGATAAAAGAGCAGCAGAAAGGGGGTGGTGGTGGTGGAAACAGCTCATCCAGAAAGTTGAGGGTGTGGCTTGAAGGTGTGTGGGAGAGGGGAAGGGCAATCTTTACTTTAATGAAGGTGGAGAGAAGGGAGTTACCCATTGCTCATACACCTGAGAGTCAAGTTTTGTTCATTGTTTCATGATAAAGCCAACTTCTACCAGACTGCCTCCCGGCTGCTAGGTACCTTTTTGGGGGTGGGGGGTGGGGGTGGGGTTGGGGGATGATACTAGGGTTTGATCTCAGGGCCTTGCACCTACTAGGCAGATGCTCTATCTCTTGAGCCATACTCCCAAGCCCTTTTTGCTTTTAGCTTTTTTTCAGGTACATTTTGCGTTTTTGCCAGGTTGACCTGGGACCCCGATCCTCCTAACTATGGCCTATAGTTGGGGCCACCCTTGGAGCTCATTGATTGAGATAGGCTCTTACTAACTTCTTGCCTTGGCTGGCCTGGCACCTCGATCCTCCTGATCTCTGCCTTGGAAGTAGCTGGGATTATAGACCTGAGGCTAGATACCTTCTTAAGATACATCTTAAGGGGCAGGTTGGGATAACAGGTCCCTTCCAGGTCTTAAAGAGTGGAGTTAAGAAATACAAGCAGGCCAGGCGCTGGTGTCTCACGCCTGTAATCCTAGCTACTCAGGAGGCAGAGATCAGGAAGAACACGGTTAGAAGCTAGCCTTGGCAAACAGTTCAGGAGACTCTATCTCGAAAAACACCCATCACAAAAAAAAAGGCTGGTGAAGTGGCTTACTATGTAGGCCCTGATTTCAAACCCCATTTACGCAAAAAAAAAAAAGAAAAGAAATGCAAACAGATTCAAGCTCTAGTACTGCCCTCCTCCCCCCAAAAAAGAAATGCAAATAAATTTTTTGAAACAGTAGGGGGGTGTTCCTCACTTAAGTGGACAAACGTTCAGAAAACATGAATAGATAGTAAGAAGTCCAGGACCGTAAGTTTCCAGTTGCTGAAATCTCTTGAAGGAGGAAATCCCTGTTTTGAAAATTACAGGCTGCATGGTCTTCTCCAGTGGACGGAGCACTGGAGACTGGAGACTGGCATTGCTTCTTACTGTAAGTCAACACCTTTTCTGTGCCTAAGTTTCTTCACTGGAAGGATAAGGAGGTTGTACTAGATGACCTCTACGTCCTCTCGCAGCTTTGAATTTCCTTTTATGAGACTTGCTGAACTTGTTTTACTGGCCCTGGAGCTCCCAAGGCTCCTCCCTCGACTGCCGCTCCCGCATCCCGCGCCAGAGGGCGCTGCAGGCGGGCCCGGGACAGCGTGCAGTGGGCGGAGTGTCAAAAATCAGGAGAAATCTCCAGGAGGCGCGGTGATTGGCTGCGGCCGGGCGGAAGGGGGCGTGGAGGGGGTGGGCTGAGGTGCGAGGGTGACGTCACGCTGGCGGGGGCGGGGCCAGGCCACGGAGCGTGTGACGCCGCGGCCGCCGCGGAGCTGGGGATTAATGGGAAAAGTTTTGGCAGGAGGTGGAGGATTCTGCGGAGCTTGCGGGACGCCGGCTGTGGCGCGGGAGGCAGCCAGGACAGGTCAGTTCGGGTTCGGGGAAGAGAGCAGGCAAGTAGCGGAGGGCAGCGGCGGGCCGGGCCGAGGCGGCCGAGGGGCCCGGGGCGCCAGGCCCGGCCCGGCGCGGGGCGGGGGGCGGTTGGTCTGCGGACAGCGCCGTGCCGCTTCCCAGAGCTCCGGCCCGGGCCGCTTCGCGCCGGTCCTTTGCCCTGCTGGCGCCGGACGCCGCTGCCCCTGCGCGCCGAGCCCTCGGACCCCCATGGTTGTTGGAGCCCAAATCACCGCTTCCTTCCACCCGACTCTGTGCCTTGTCTTGGGCCTCGTGCTCCGTCTCCTCCCACTTCTCCGAGAGCTTGATCTCAGTCAGGCCCGGGTGCTTTCTCACTCTTCTGATCTCTTCCTCCATCCCTCTCTGGTGACCCCAGATCCTTGCCCTCTCTGTCTAAGCTCTCTCCTTGGAGATGTCTCCTCGGTGTCCCTCGTTTTCCTTGTCTCTTGCCTTCATTCTCCCATCCTTGCCCTTTCGGTCTTTGCTCTTCCCATTCCTGCCCTTTTCCCTCCCCGTATCGCAGTACCCTCTGCCTCAGGGTGTTATGAGATTTTTCCAACCCTGTGCGTGCAGTCCCGTAAGCCTCTCCTACCCTGGCTGCCTCCCTCCGCAGGCCTGTTCCTCGCCCCCCCCACCCCGATTTCTTTCCTGTCAACCCTTCTGCACCCAGGTACCTTACCTCTGCTTCAGGGCGAAGCGATAGTTCCACACGCTACTTTGCTTTCACTTGACCCGCGGTTGAGGTACCCGTTGGATATAGTGGGGGTGTTGAGCTCCTGATTTACTTCAGAATGAATGTCTGACATAAATACCAGGTACATCTGTGTGGGAGAATTTACTGGGCTGTTACATCAGGGATGATGTCCAATTTGTAGGCCGTTCTTCTAATCTAAGCTTTAATACTTCCCCTTTATGAGTCTGTTGACTTCCAGGAACCCTTAGGGAGAGACCGCTCCGAGCTGGGTTTGTGCCAGGGGTAGCCGGAGGCCTCATCCAACTCTTTTCCCCTTCCAGGAAACAGGATTCTGTCTTTTCACTAGGGCTATATGGAACACATTTCAACCATAAATACCGCACTCTGTCTCTGCCCTCATTCCTACTTCCATACGCTGCACCATCCCACAGAGCTATGAGAAGTCTCCAGAAGCTATGCCTCAGAGAACGCCCGTGGTCCTCAACCTTTTACCTCTGTACTGGTTCCAGAACACTTTTTCCTGTTTGAGTTTTGAGATACATTGCCAGCCTACTAGCCCCGGGGCTGTTAGGCATCTGTCCCCTTTATTAATGCGGCTTGAATCAACTGCTGATTTTCTCCTGTGTATCTTTGACTGAGTGCCTCTAGGGTCTGTTACTGACAAAAGTTCTCTTGACTTTTCTCCCTTGTTTTCCCTTGGGATCTTCCACTGGAGCTTTGTTCTTTTGGCCCTGGTGTGGTCTGGGGTATCAGGTTGATGTTTGTCTGGGCAGGTTGTGGGGTTGCATTAGCTAGACCTTGCCAGGAACTGAGTTGTCTGCTTCCAGGCACGTGGGTCATCATCTCGGGTGGTGTGTCTGAATGCTTATCCTTCTTGCAGAAGCTTTATTTGGCATTGACCCCCTGGAGAAATCCTCAGGAAATAATATGGCCTCTGTTTCTGCCCAGCCCCTCCTGATCTGGGAGGATTCTGAAAGCGTGGCCCAGTCTCACGTTTAGAAATGAAAGCTCATTGTTTCACTGGCTCTGGGTTTCTAGGTCTCCTCTTTTGAGGATCACACTCTGCCTTTGAGCCAAAATTGGACACAGAATTGGCCACAGAACAGGCAACCTTCAGGAGCCATGGCAGAGAGCCAACTGAACCAGCTCAACCAGACCTTATAGTTTTGTAATCTTGTACACTGACCCTTTTCTGTTTAAGCAGCAGGACTGTAGGTGGCTATCCCAGTCCCTTTCTCCGCTGATCCCTGAGCCCCCTCTATGCAGCTCTTGGGGGCAGAATTTGGGTAGAAGGCATCCTTTCTTCCTGTAAAAACATCCCTCTGGGGTTTTAATGGGTCATTCTAAAGAAGATGGGGACGAGAGTTTGGCGGTAGTTTGGTCCAGACTCTGGCTCCCCAAAAGGTCTTTGCTTACCATCAGCAGTACTCTGTGCTCAGGTGGTAGGTGAGAGGGTGTGAGCAAAGGGGAGGGCCAGTCCTGGTGGAGCAGTGTAAGCACAAGCAGTCCTGGCCGGATGGCCTCTTGCAGTCCACTCTGTGCTCTTCTGAGTGGGTAGTCGTGATTATCAGTTTCCCACTGGGTGATTTTTGGAGAGCCTGGGTCAGCTTGCCTGTTTCCTCGATGTGGGCATACAGGCCCCTGTCAGTGTTCTGCTGGCATGGGCTGTGAACTCCTTCGTGTCATGAACTGACCGCACTTCTGTTTGGTTACCCTTCTTGCCTCTTCTCTGTTGTTTTCTTGTGAATGCCTCATTCCACCCAGGAAGAGCAACCCCCACCCCCAGCCTTCCAGCCCCATCTGTGATCCCTTTGCCCCCTTCCCTGAGGGCCTGGTAGGAGGACAGGCAGTGTCTGAGACTGGCCTGGGGAGCTGATGAGGCTTTGGACAAACACAGTACCTGGCTGTTGTGCAAGTTGTCCTCAGGGCCTGAGGAGCCCGGTGTGTCCTGGAACAGTGCAGCTCACCTTTCTTGGGAGGAGTTGAACCTGTGGCCCCTAAAGGTTTGAGCTCATGCTGTCACTGACATCTACCCCCTGGTGTTCCCTGCAGGTTGGTGCCCTCTTCCTGTGCCTCTGGGGCCATGAACCAGTCCCACTGCCCAGCCTTGTCCACACTGGAAACATTCTCTCCTTCTTCCCCATGCGGTGTCTGTCTCCATGGACTTTGTCTGTCCTGCCAGGCCCTGGCTTGTATTATGTCAGAAGGTCTGTGCCATGTTGTCCCAGATTGCCCAATGACTGTTTCTTGGCGATGGCTTGATGTCCCGGAGTATTTCTTGCCTGAGTGGCTTGCAGTGGCTGGTTTCCAGGCTGTCAGAGGAGAGTTGGGTTCTTGGCTTGAGAGAGTGGCCCTGTGCATCAGGTTGCAGACATGTTGGGCTTCTTCCTTGGCAGATGGTTCCTGGCCTTTGTAACTCAGCAGGCTGGTGATTGGGGTATGACTTCAGGCCTGTCTGTGGGGCTTTGCTAAGGAATCAAGCATGACTCAGGGCATCTCCATTTATGAGCTGCCACCCATGGCGGCTCACCTCTTCCTACCTTGCCAGCTCCTTCTGCCCCACCTTGGTAAAATCAGCAAAGCCAGTGTCTGCTTGCTTGGAAGCAAACAGACTACTTCCAGGGTTGGGAAATATTTGCTGACTCAGGCTCAGGATACCGTCTCAGGATGGGTGTGAGGGACACTGGGGAGCCAGATTGCTTCAGGAGCACTCTTTGAGTCCTAGTGTTTAATTACAACTTACTCGAGCTGCTTTCCGGATCCCTGGCACCTCTCAGCTAGAGATGTTGGGTTTCTTTTTCTCCTGCAGAGTGTTGCGTGGTGATTGGGGCATGCACGTGGTACTCTCACAGTGGCTTCTGCTTACCGACAGATGAAGACGGACGTCTGTAAAGGTAATCTCTTTCCCTCACTCATGAGCCAATGACAGCTGACTGCCACAGGACCCAGAGTTGAGATTCTGTTCTTAAAGATGAACTAATTTACTAGGGCTTCATCCTGATCCCAGATGCCTGTCATAGCGTTTGGTACTCATCACTTACAGAAAGGCATTCATTAAATAACTATTGAATATTCTCTGACTTACATAGAAGCAAGGAGATTTGCATCTTTGCACCCACTAAAAAATAAACACCACAAGGGCAAGAACTTATTTTGTTTCCTGTTGTGCTTAGCACAGAAGAGACACCTGAATAAATGTTTGTTGAGTGAATAAGTGAACAAACTTTCTTCTCTGCCAATGTGGGTAAACGGGATGCTGGTTCATCACAGGATGACACCCATCATTCTCTTTCATTTATGGAACACATTTTTTTTTACTTTTTTATTATTCATATGTGCATACAATGCTTGGGTCATTTCTCTCCCCTGCCCCCACCCCCTCCCTTACCACCCACCACACCACCTCCCTCTCTCCCCCACCCCTTCCATACCCGGCAGAAACTATTTTGCCCTTATCTCTAATTTTGTTGAAGAGAGAGTATAAGCAATAGTAGGAAGGAACAAGGGTTTTTGCTAGTTGAGATAAGGATAGCTATACAGGGAGTTGACTCACATTGATTTCCTGTGCGTGGGTGTTACCTTCTAGGTTAATTCTTTTTGATCTAACCTTTTCTCTAGTTCCTGGTCTCCTTCTCCTATTGGCCTCAGTTGCTTTTAAGGTATCTGCTTTAGTTTCTCTGCGTTGAGGGCAACAAATGCCAGCTAATTTTTTAGGTGTCTTACCTATCCTCATACCTCTTGTGTGCTCTCGCTTTTATCTTGTGATCAAAGTCCAATCCCATTGTTGTGATTGCCCTTGATCTAATGTCCGCATATGAGGGAGAACATACGATTTTTGGTCTTTTGGGCCAGGCTAACCTCACTCAGAATGATGTTCTCCAATTCCATCCATTTACCAGTGAATGATAACATTTCGTTCTTCTTCATGGCTGCATAGAATTCCATTGTGTATAAATACCACATTTTCTTAATCCATTCGTCAGTGGTGGGGCATCTTGGCTGTTTCCATAACTTGGCTATTGTGAATAGTGCCACAATAAACATGGGTGTGCAGGTGCCTCTGGAGTAACCTGTGTCACAGTCTTTTGGGTATATCCCCAAGAGTGGTATTGCTGGATCATACGGTAGATCAATGTTTAGCTTTGTAAGTAGCCTCCAAATTTTTTTCCAGAGTGGTTGTACTAGTTTACATTCCCACCAGCAGTGTAAGAGGGTTCCTTTTCCCCCGCATCCTCGCCAACACCTGTTGGTGGTGTTGCTAATGATGGCTATTCTAACAGGGGTGAGGTAGAATCTTAGTGTGGTTTTAATTTGTATTTCCTTTATTGCTAGAGATGGTGAGCATCTTTTCATGTGTTTTTTGGCCATTTGAATTTATTCTTTTGAGAAAGTTCTGTTTAGTTCACTTGCCTATTTCTTTATTGGTTCATTAGTTTTGGGAGAATTTAGTTTTTTAAGTTCCCTATATATTCTGGTTATCAGACCTTTGTCTGATGTGTAGCTGGCAAATATTTTCTCCCACTCTGTGGGTGTTCTCTTCAGTTTAGAGACCATTTCTTTGGTTGAGCAGAAGGTTTTTAGTTTTATGAGGTCCCATTTATCTATGCTATCTCTTAGTTGCTGTGCTGCTGGGGTTCCATTGAGAAAGTTCTTACCTATACCTACTAACTCCAGAGTATTTCCTACTCTTTCCTGTATCAACTTTAGAGTTTGTGGTTTGATATTAAGATCCTTGATCCATTTTGAGTTAATATTGGTATAGGGTGATATACATGGATCTAGTTTCAGTTTTTTGCAGATTGCTAACCAGTTTTCCCAGCAGTTTTTGTTGAAGAGGCTGCTATTTCTCCATCGTATATTTTTAGCTCCTTTGTCAAAGACAAGTTGGTTATAGTTGTGTGGCTTCATATCTGGGTCCTCTGTACTGTTCCACTGGTCTTCATGTCTGTTTTTGTGCCAGTACCATGCTGTTTTTATTGTTATTGCTTTGTAATATAGTTTGAAGTCGGTATTGATACCTCGAGCATTGTTCTTTTGACTGAGTATTGCCTTGGCTATTCGTGGCCTCTTGTGTTTCCATATAAATTTAACAGTAGATTTTTCAATCTCTAATGAGCATCATTGGAATTTTGATGGAATTGCATTACTTTTGGGAGTATAGACATTTTTACTATATTGATTCTACCAATCCATGAGCATGGGAGATCTCTCCACTTTCTATAGTATTCCTCAATCTCTTCAGAAGTTTATAGTTTTCCTTGTAGAGGTCATTCATATCTTTTGTTAGCTTTACACCTAAGTATTTGATTTTTTTTGAGGCTATTGTAAATGGAATTGTTTTCATATATTCTTTTTCAGTTTGTTCATTATTAGTGTATAGAAATGCTAGTGATTTTTCTATGTTGATTTTATATCCTGCTACCTTGCTGTAGCTATTGATGGTGTCTAAGAGCTTCTGAGTAGAGCTTTTTGGGTCTTTAAGGTATAGGATCATGTCATCTGCAAATAGGGATATTTTGACAGTTTCTTTACCTATTTGTATTCCTTTTATTCCTTCTTCTTGCCTAATTGCTCTGGCTAGGAATTCCAGTACTATGTTGAATAGGAGTGGAGCTAGTGGACATCCTTGTCTAGTTCCTGATTTTAGAGGGAATGGTTTCAGTTTTTCTCCATTAAGTATAATGCTGGCTGTAAATTTGTCATATATAGCTTTTATAATGTTGAAGTACTTTTTCCGTCCATTCCTAGTTTTCTTAGAGCTTTTATCATGAAATGGTGTTGGATCTTATCAAAGGCTTTTTCTGCATCTATTGAGATGATCAAGTGGTTTTTGTCTTTGCTTCTGTTAATGTGGTTTGTTACGTTTATTGATTTTCATATGTTGAACCACCCCTGCATTCCTGGGATGAAGCCAACTTGGTCGTAGATTATTCTTTTTGATGTGTTGTTGAATTCGGTTTGCCATTATTTTGTTAAGGATTTTTGCATCAATGTTCATTAAGGAGATTGGCCTATAGTTCTCCTTTTTGGAGGTGTCTTTGCCTGGTTTTGAGATAAGTGTAATACTGGCTTCATAAAATGTGTTAGGCAGTTTTCCTTCCCTTTCTATTTCGTGGAACAGTTTAAGGAGGGTTGGTATCAATTCTTCTTTAAAGGTCTGATAGAATTCAGCAGAGAATCTATCAGGTCCTGGACTTTTCTTTTTGGGGAGACTCTTGATTGCTGCTTCAATTTCATTTTGTGTTATAGATCTATTCAGGTGATTAATTTCCTCTTGGTTCAGTTTTGGATGATCATATATATCTACAAATCTGTCCATTTCTTTAAGATTTTCAAATTTTTTTGAATATAGGTTCTTGAAGTAGTCTCTGATGATTTCCTGGACTTCCATGGTGTTTGTTGTTATCTCCCCTTTTGCATTCCTGATTCTACTAATTTGGGTTTTTTCTCTCCTCATTTTAGTCAAGTTTGCCAGGGGTCTGTCGATCTTGTTTATTTTTTCAAAGAACCAACTTTTTGTTTCGTTAATTCTTTGTATGGTTTTTTTGGTTTCTATTTCATTGATTTCAGCTCTTATTTTTATTATTTCTCTCCTATTTGTTTTGGAATTTGCTTGTTCTTGTTTTTCTAGGAGTTTGAAATGTACATTAGGTCATTGATTTGAGATCTTTCAGTCTTTTTAATATATCCACTCATGGCTATAAACTTTCCTCTTCAGGACTGCCTTTGTTGTGTCCCATAGGTTCCGGTAGGTTGTGTTTTCATTTTCATTGACTTCCAGGAACTTTTTAATTTCCTCTTTTATTTCATCAATGACCCATTGTTCATTAAGTAATGAGTTATTCAGTTTCCAGCTGTTTGCATGTTTTTTGTCTTTACTTTTGTTGTTGAGTTCTAGTTTTATTACATTGTGATCAGATAGTATGCACGGTATAATTTCTATTTTCTTATATTTGCTGAGGCTTGCTTTGTGCCCTAGGATATGATCTATTTTGGAGAAGGTGGAACACAAATTTTTGAGTACCATCTCCATGCAGACACTTGGGAAATGATAAAGAGAAACATTCATTCCCTACCCCTCCTGAGTCTGGTTTGCTGGCTCAGGTGAAAACTGGACACAGTACACAAAATTGTCTCTCCCATCTCTGCTGGGTAGTGGGTCCTTGGCAGAATTTGAACAATGTACCGGGTTTCCCATGGCTGTTTCCCTGTTCTCAGGATGCTTGGCAGGTGTCATAAGCTCTCAGAAGGGTGGCTCCAGGGTATTTGATGTTCATTGTCCTGACTATTTGGGAGGCTGGGTTATGGTGGGTCCCTGCTGGGGGCCGGGGAAACTCAGTCTCCTGTCTCTTTTAATCTCTGAGGCTCAGAGGTTCCAGGAGCTGTTCGTGGGCTTCACTTCCCTTTCTCTGCCTTTAACACCCTATGGGTTTTCCTGTTGCCATACAAGCTGGCGAGTCCCTGTGTCTGTTCATTGTGGGGGTCAGGTTGTTTGTGGATCTTTTAGAAAGGTCTCGGGGCAGAGACCCCTGCGGTTCTCAAGCCTAGACCCAGTCCTGTTCTCTGAAGGGAATGCAAGGAAGGAAGAAGGGGGGCAGAGGCTTCTGAGGTTCCCTGAGAAGGGATGGGTGGAAGTCCCCTGAGCAGAGAGAGCTGCTGGGCTGCACTGATTTGCCCTGTCACGAGCTCAGTAGCAGCTGACCACAGTGGCAGCAATTGTGCACATCCAGGGCCCAGTGGCCATTTCATCCCTGAGCTCTGAGGTCACAGTTCCAGCTAGAAGTTGTCTTAATTCCTCTGACAAAGGTGAGGCTGTGGAGCTTTCTCATATTTTTCTGTGCTAATCTCAAAAAGCTGTGGTGGTTGCCATCTTAGGCATTCTCATCTGAGCCAC